GTGTACTGTTTTGGGTCTGCGTGGGATTAGGTCCATCTCTTTCCTTCTCTGTTGCATCAAAAGGACTGGAAGCGTATTACCACCACCTAAGGAGCTGTAGCAGTGCAGTCCTAAGACCAGCGTTATATTTAACTACTCCTTTATTGAGTGCGTCTTGGTAATAACCAAAAATTTCAGCCTGTGGTCTAACAGCATGTGAAATTATGAGTTGCTTCCTAAGTGGACAGTTTGATCTCACAGGTTTGATTTAATTGAAGTTGAGTTGTTTACGTGTTTATCCATGAATGGATAAAATGGCTGGACTTACTAACCATTAAAAAAAATGTCTGAAGATTAACTGATGTGTTGTTTACAGTAGGGTGAGTGGCTACAAGAGCATCAATTAATATTAGTCATGTTAATGTCAATGAGGTGAGAGGTTTACGTTTTGGATCCTTGTTGGAATATTTTAAAGGTTAACCTGGTGTGCCAGGCTTATGGCTGTATGTTGAAGATATCCCTAAAGTTATGCTGCTATAGACTTAGACATCTTGAGGGCATAGGGACCACTTGCCCATTTTTCAGTTTTAAGTCCTGTTTCTCTCCTAGACATAGCTATAGGCTCAGCAATAACTGTGACTACCTGTATTTTCTCTCTCTGACATGAAAACTGCCAAAGAGCTTGTCGTTCCAAGACAGAGCCATCTATAGATCTAGTGTACAAATTGAATGACTGTATGTAATCAGCTGGTTTTCCTCAGATAGAAAACTTAACCAATGTGACTGTATGATCTGACTGAATTGTCTCTGTGAATTGCCTAAGGTGACATGTGACATGAAAGGCTATTTGCTGTTGTGGGATTTTAAATATACATATATTCTTTTCTCCTGCATCCATTGTTGTCGTTGTTCCCGCCCCGCCCTCATTATAGATTATGCATCAGAGCAGACCTTTCCGTTCTTGAGATTGACAGCTGTCCCAGCATGCACTGCGGCAGAAGCAGCTTTCAATGGAGCGCTCCATTGAAAGTTAAAAGTTCTATTTTCTGTTGCTGCTGTTTAATAAAAGTAAGTTTTAAGATAATTTCAGGCGAGAATATAATACTTTACAACGTCACTATATGGACAATTTACCGATTTAATGCGTAATAGATAAAAAAAAGATTTTCTGAAGTTGATAGGACCGTGGCAACCAGTGGAGCTCCGAGGCTAACGGCAGCCAGGGCTAACCGCAGCCCATCTGCCCTCTCTCGGTATTTTTGTGTGGGTTTTTTTTGGCAAAGCATTCATTTGACTTGTGTTTATCTGACTGTGTTCATTATTATTCCCCCACTAAATGTAAAGTCATAATTTATTTTTATCTAAAGACTATTAATAACCGGAGGTGAAATGCAGCTCTAGACGAGCTAAGCATGCGGTGACGTCACGAATACGCTTCTGTTCCAATTGACCCATATCTATGCTGCGTGCTCGCGTTCTCACCAAGTCCACACTTTCTTGTGTTCTTGAGGAGAACGCAAGTACGGACTCGTGTTCTCGTGAATTGAGAAACGGTCATTGTTTTTGCTAATGCTAAGAGCCTACATACATAACGACTCTGCTGCTAAGTTATTTAAGGAGTAATGAAACAACTTAACTTCCTAATTTAAGTAACTCTTCAATCTACCCTTTTTGGATCAAATATAGATCAGAGTTTATTTACATTCTTATCTATTTCAGATTTGTATTTTTTATTCTTTTTAGCTTACTGTGTTTCCTCAATCATTGAAACCATCTGTTAAGGAGTTCTGTACAGTTAATGTTTGTCTCAGGAAGATAATTGGAGGTGCACCAACCTCCAACCTCCCTTACCTTCCCGAATCAGTAGCCGCGGTCAATTTCAATCACGAAAAGTATTCTATTTAAGACTGTAGTTTATTCTAAGCTCCAAGAACAATCTGTTTGCATTTTTACTAAAAAAAAAAACAGCAGTTTTGCAAATTTGTTTTTAAAATACAGCAAATATTTGATGAAATATTGGAGTACTTAACTTTGAAATGAAACCCTGCTTACTTCCTGTCTATGCTTGCCTGCAGCTCGCTGTTGGCACGGCTCTGCTAGAAAAGGCAGAGATCAGGCTGCCTGCCTCTGAATCCCTTCCCCCCCTTCCTGGTGTTTCAGGGAGCAAAAGACATCTTCTGGGGGGGGTAATTCCCTGACAAGAAGGACGGGACAGCAAGAACTAAATAACGCTCACATTCAGCACCATGAGAGTGTAGAGAATAAGGACAGGGTGGGAGAATGAAAGGAGAGCAAAGTGAACAGAGAAAGTGGCGAGATGAGCTGGAGGAGGAAAAGTGGGGGGAGGATCTTTCCTTTTGGGAGTCGGTGTTGCAGGATTGAGGAGAAAAGTGTAGACAAGTCTGAACTGTTATGTCAACCCTCTAACAGCGCGGAGGTGTGTGCAGCAGTGAAACAATAGCCGTTTGTACGCTAAGCCTACAGCTGTGACCATCTCCACAGGCCTTCTGGAGGAGCCCTTAGGTGTGAGAAAAGAGATATCTAGAGGATCAACACCTGATTTTAACACATCGATTACTCCCTCAGCTGCTCATTAAGAGCTCTGGCAGATAATGGAGCTAAAAACATAAAAAAAATACAAACATGGATCCATCAGGGAGATTATTGCCGGGGTTCTAAACCTGTGCTGCTATTGAAGAGCTTCCAGCTGATTTAAAAGGCAGAGTCATGTCAAGAACGCCGTCTGATCTCAACCAACACCTTAAGAGTCAGTGAAAGCGCCACACCTGAGAGGGAAACAAACACTTCTGTACCGATAAGGCCGTTTTTTATGCACATTTTTAATCCGCTCCTTGAAATTCTGTATTTCTACATTAATTTTCCATCAGCACAGTGAGGTTAGCTGAGGGAACAACACTTAGACGGGCTGTGGTGTTTAAAAAAAGCTGAATCAGTACTGAGAAGCCAAAAATAGGCCCAGAGATTTTAAAACAGCTGTTTTAACCCAGTTACATCAAATTTTCCCCCCATCCTTGAATTTAGCAGCAGAGAGTCCATCTCACAGAATTTGGATCAATAATAATTTAGATCAATTCCAGAGGCACTCCATTTTCTTTTCCTGTTTTATTCCTATTTATTTATTTATTTTTTTTATATTTAGTGTGTATTGAATTGTCATTGTAGTTTTGCTAGATTCTTATTGTATCTTTACATAAACAGACAGTATTATTTGACATTTCTCACTCCAGGCCTTTAGAAAAAGTTGTAGATACCACACAGACCAATCATGCAAGTTAGTCTGCATATGCTACTGGTTGGTGTAGGAAAAAAATGAAATAAAAATCACAAAAAAGGTAGTCGTAATTTTAAAGGAGTAATAACCTGGAAATATATCTTTAAAGCTACAGTGTGTAATTTTCAGCGACATCTAACGTTCAGACTGCAGACTGCAGCAACATGAACATCTCCCCCCCATCGCTTCTCCCCCCCAACAGTACGGCGAGCGTTACGGGACAAAATGTCTTCCACGACGTCCGCATCACCTACCTTCTCAAGTGATGAGGTTTGTTTACATAGATAATTTTACAGATAGTATTCTCAGGCATAATACTGCCATATATTGTTCAGTACCGTCTCAGTTCATCTCTCTCAACTTGCCGTAGTTACTTTCGAGCGTAATGGGCGATCTCGCAATCGCTAGTTTGTTGGCTCTACGCTGCCGTAGCGCAAAGATGTCTGCCTCCATGGCTGCGAGACCCGCTCCTATGTAATTATAAATAACGAATTCTAAGGCAACGCAAATATTACGGTTAAGAGGCTGAGCTCGTAGATGATGATAAATAACATAGTTATGTATAATATATTACATTTCTGACTGTATATCTCTGTAATTATTACACACTGTAGCTTTAAATTAATATTTAGTAATTTTGGGAGGAAAACAGTTTAAATCAAGCTAATTCTGACCCTTTTTTGTCCTCGCAAAGGTACGTTTGAGAATCTGACTTCAGTGTATGCACGTTAAAGTGTATGTAGTGTTAGCACCATTAGCAGATGGGTTGTTTACCATATTTTCCAGATCTCTTGCAAAACAGCCAATAACGTTTGATCACACTGCAAGCCCTGGTGATAAATTACAACTTTATTCTTGTGAAATCCGATTGTTTTGTGTGGTTGTTCACATTTCTAAATATTTGCCTCAACTTAGGCTGCAGTGCGCACCATTAGGAGCCTAATGGAGCGTTCAGAGAGATTTGGGCGTCAAGAATGTTTAAACCCCGAAATTTGGACGTTGGGTCAAAAGCTCTGGTTGCTTATCTGCTCTGCTCTTTAGCTGAGTTAGAACAATTGTTTTAACAGGTTTTTAAGCGAGAAATCCCCCCTCCAAACATCTTCTGTGCAGTCAGTTCATCAGGATTATGATCCTACTAAATTATGCAGTTCTTGTTCGGAGCGCCAGACCTCCACCATACCGCCGGGAGGCAGCGCTGGAACCCCCCACTGAAAGCTGGATGTTACAGAATATGTTTTTATTAACTTTTCATTTTAAAGACCTGTTAAAATAGATTATAAGCATGCAAACATGTAAGATGAAAAACAAAATCTAAAATATAAAAACACTATAAAAACTTCACAATATTCCAGTTCCTAAAATTTTCCGTTACCATTATCCCTCCATCATGGTTCAGCATTCATTTACTGGACCCTAAAATGCAGCAAATAAACTGGAACAAAACTGACATTTCCTGCTCTTAAAGTAGCATTTATCAAACTACTAAGAGTCGCAGGTTCTTGAAGGGATTTATCTTATTATCTAGTATTTAAAAAAGACATCTACCACACATTCTGAGAAAGAAAAACAAAAGTTTGTCTGAAATTGCTACGGTGACAGAAAGAGCCAGGAGATTGCTGTGGAAATCAGTTCAGCGGAGGACAGAAGCAGTAGGTTTGCCTTTGGAGGAAAACAAAAGGCAGCAGAATGTGAGGATCAGCTGGTTCACCGCCCAGAGATCACTACTTACTTGATATAATAGGGCACATTGTTTGGAGAGATGCCTTGCTCGAAGGGGCTTTCTACTGATCCTGAAAAGACAAAAGGGACAAACCAGGAGTGTCACAACAAAAGACCTGAACTTTCACACAGTTTAAACAATTACTGTGAAAAAAGAGACAAAATAAATCCCCAAACGCAAAGTTTTTTTTTAATCTTATGGTAACTCAACAAAGATAGGATGTCATAAAGCTTTGCTTTCTTCTATTTATACTGTAAAATAAAAGGCATCCATTCTCCTAATCCAGAGGTCAACTTTGCTTTTTACTATAAAAAATAACTAAATCAAACTTCTCACCACATTTAAGGTTTAAACCCGTTACTGTTCTGGTTTCTTAGATGGGCTTTTTGCTTCAGTCCTCTCTCAGCTGCTGTCAGCCCTGATGCTCATATACATTTTTCCTAATACACTTTCTCCTTCCACTCAACTTTCCATTTATATTCTTGGATAGCTTCATACCTTGCATTATTAGAAATATGCTTATTTTTTGCTCCAACATCAGATTTCTATAACTTCACATGAATTTCACCTGATTTCCAGGAAAGTCAGACGCCGCTTGCTCCATTTCTTTTCGATACAAATAAACTGAATTTAATTAAATCATTTCTCCAGTCACCTTAAAGGCTCATACCTCAGACCAAAAGATGAGGACTGATGATGGACTTTTAGCAACTTCCAGTCTTCAGCGCCCTAATCTTTGTGGAACTGATGCCACCTGCTCCCGCTCAACGTTTATCGAATTATAAGAGCTTAAACAGCCCTAAATTCAACTTTAAACTTTTTGAAATAAACAAAAAAGTAAAAAAAAAGTGTTACCTAAATTGACTGCGACACAAATGTCAATCAACTTAAAGGCTTCAAATGCTCGCCGCTTTTAAGAGGTAATCATCTTAATCCTTTAAAAAATGACATAAATCAGGCTGGAAAATATCAGTTTTTTCTCTAAATTGAGCACAACATGGACTTTTTAGGGGCGGGATTGGGATTGCCTCACCTGAAGAGTTTCCCAAGTCCCTCTGAGCGTCTGTCAGCTGTTCCAGATGTTTTTCGACAGAAATCTAAAAGAGAGGAACCAGGAGACATTCTTAAAACCGTAAAATAATTCACATTTTTGCTCTGTGCCAAAACCATTGATGTGTTGTTGTTGATGAAAAATACATATGTTTGCTAAACACAAATGAATGCAATTAGCATCAAGCTTAAGAATGTAGTTTAGAGTTTTAAAAGGAGGGGTTATGTATGTAGAAAAAATTTATGACAGTAAGTTTGCAGATAAAATCTAAAAATTTTGGGTATTAGGGCCAGAACACACCGGTTATGTACGACTTTTTAATCTCCATTCCGAATTTTTTCTATGTCACAAAGTATAGAGAGGCTCCGCCCAGGCAGGGTGAGCAGATCTGTTCAGTTTTTTTGTTTTTGTTTTTTTTTTCAATTCTTTCTCTGTGTTATACAAAAATTAAAACGATTTCCCACTTGACTTACACCGATTATGAAAAGTTATTAAAAAAACAACACTGACGCAGCTATAGAGCAAAGCCTCACATAATGAGTCTGTGCAGCATCTCAAACCAGAACAGATAATGTCCCTATGCATATATTAAAAATATAATGAAATCTACGTCTAAAGAAAAACAGCAAAAAACATCTTGGGGCAGTTTATGTGCTGACTGCGACAGAGAGAGGTGATTCCCAGGGAGAGATCTGGGAAGTTCTTCCATATTTTTCTTTTTTTTCATAGAGGTTAGAGAGATACGCTGCACTAACCTGCTTTGTCTGCCCCTCGTTATTTAGTTTTTTTTGTGAGGCTATTTTACTATATTCATTTTTTCTCCTCCTGAAGTAATTTTGTTTTCTGAGGAGATTGATAAACTGAACTTTCTATCCCTCATTGTTTTGTGAAGCTTCAAGAGGATCACTACTTTATCTGTTTTCTGTCCTCATGAACTATCATGGTTAAAGAATTCTATTTTGTAATGTTTTATTGATTGTTTTTGCACGAGTCTGTCCCACTTACTATATATGCAATGTGGGATTCCAAAACTCTTTCCTCGTGCCATTAACAGATTTTATTTTGTATTTTCCCCCAAATATGTTTTACTTTGCAACCGCGTCTCTCTTCCTGTCAGACCCATGAAATTGCTGCTGAATTGCTGCGTAGTCTGACTAAAATAGACCTGGGCTCTATCTCAATCGGACTTTTGCAAGCCCCCTTGCGTAAAATTGTGTCGGGTATGATCATCCCCATTGATAGATCGGACGCAAAATCGGTTTTGGTGTGTTCTGGCCTTTATTGTTGAATCGTATAGTACAGCATTTCCTTACACTGGTATGAAATATCAGAGTAGGTGCTGCTTTCTTCTGATACCTTTTCCTTTCTGCACTTTTTTTTTTTTACTTTTATTTTTTTAAAGTAGATTTGAATATCAAAGATAATTTAATGTATATATATTTATCCCAGAGTGAAAATGTTTTCAAAACTGCAGTTTTTCCTTCCACACAACCTTCCATTATTATGCCTAAACAGAAACCTTTGCACCTCAGCGACTACATCGTCCTGCTGCACTAATGCTGAATCTGCAGCCTTTATATCCACCTTTCTTAATATTTCACCTTTCTAATAATCCAGTTTATTTTGTTGCTAATATAGATTACCTTTAAAAATATCTTCTGAAATATACCTTGATGTAAGCAATCCATATCACAGAACCCAACTTAAAAAAACTCTGAACTGTCCCTTTAAAGCTGAGCCCGTTTCCTTGGTTTTAATAATTATAAATTAAAGGAAGACATTGTCTTTACACTCAACAGATGCATTTTTATTTGTCTTTCCTCTACAGTTTTATTTTAAATCACCATCAAGCTTTTATAACCCTAAGCATCAGATGCATCCTTTACTTTGTGTGAAGAAAAGGTCAACTTTAAGCAAATATGTCTGGATTATTACAATAAATAAAAAAAATGTACATTCAAACAGACACTGAATAGTTTTATGTACACAAAGACAAAATGATGAACATGAAGATGCAGTGAAAGAACGGCTGGGGAGGGGGGGATTCGGTCGGAATGATGCGTCTTTACAGTCGGATTGTCGCAGAAAATACTCCCTACTTCCTCCCTCATTCAAACCAATATAAATACTAAACAATATTTGTTATACTTATTTTTATGTTTCACTCACATAAAAAAAGGAATTTTCTAAGATATCTGAGTCAGTTGCACTGTAGCGTTTAAACCCATGAACAGTTTAGGTCAGTTTTATACCAAGTGTCCCATCAGCTGAAGGCATAAAGAAGATAACGGCTGGTTATGAAAGTTCATTTTAAAGGACATAGCTACAGTACAACTTTCATCAAAATTATTAGTTTTTCTAAAATAATACATCCACAGAACATCTAGAGTGGTGAGGAGTCACTGGAAATAAAAACAATGGTATAAGTGTTTCAAACATTTTGGAGGGTCTGAAATCCATAAATATTTACTTCTGGAAACAATGCTTTTGGCATGAAAGGCTTAGGCAGTAGGTTGAAATGTGTTGAGCTCCAATTCAGGGGATGCATCCCCTGAAGGCCAGATTCATCGCCCGATTATGTCATAGAAGAATGGAAGACTCCTTGTTATGCGGACAGGTAAAGTGTATCCTACATAGCCTTGGATATATGATTGCTCACACTGAGCCTGGTTCTGCTGGAGGTTTCTTCCTGTTAAAAGGGAGTTTTTCCTCTCCACTGTCGCTACGAGCATGCTTAGTGTGAGGGATTGCATTGGAGTCAATCAGTCGATGCAATCAACTGGTTTTCCTAAGATAGAAAACTTTGAATCAATCTGACTGGATGATCTGGTGAACTGTAAAGTGCCATGACATGTGTTGTGAATTGGCGCTATAGAAATAAACTGAACTGAATTAATATCAGGTGATTCACTGCGAGTCCAAGCAAGCGGGCTGCTCCGTGCTCAGAGGAGAAAGGTAAATGGCGCAGAACAGTGGTGAATATTGGAAGTGCAGTTTAATATAATACAAGTATGTGAATAGGTTTGTCTGAAATTAATGCAAATAGTTTTTTTAATGGTTACAGATATATGGCAGGTAATGTTTAATTTAAGGAAATGTTTTTATCCGTCTCTGTGTAAATTGCTTTGGCTGAGATTTAAGCTCATACTCCAGTATCTTCGCAGAGTGGGGACTATAAATACGATATTTGTGATAATGGTACTGCTGCTGAAGCTCCTCAACAATGTGATTAGCAGCCAGAACAGTAATGGGAAGAGCAGAATCCATTATTTGCCTTCTTTGTATGTCAACTCTTACGGTTGCTAGGTGACAGAGCAAACGGCGGTGAAGCCGGCGAAGGCTGGTCCTGTTTGAATCCATAGCCAAAGCTTTTCCGCCCTCCTTATTTTCACAGACCGGTCTACCTGGACTGGGTCCTTGTAGGATGCAGCCATGATGTGAGACAGAGCAAAGGTGATGCCATATCCTAGTAGCTCCATCATAGAGAGCAGAAACGGCGTTGCATTTCTCAGATTCAAGCCACAAAAAAAAAAAAAAAGCAGCAAAATGAGGGTGAACATTACTCAGGCTTTTCAACGTTAGTGCCAACTTTAAGAATCACTTATAGTCACAAGAATCAAAGAGGGTAAGAAGGCAGGTATCACCTGCGATATATCTGTTAATCATCATAGAGTTAATTATTTCAACAATTTAAAATGGTGGGTTTTTCAAGCTTTATCTCTGCCTCTGTGAGCTGATTACAGCGTCAGCGGTGCAGGTTTCACACCTTTGAAGTGACCCCTCCTGTGTCCAAATAAGTACCGTAACTGTCGGACTATTAGCCGCACCTGAATATAAGCCGCAGAAGCTAAATTGCATGATTTGTACATTTACAAGCAGCACCGGACTATAAGCCGCAGGTTTTTTATGTTTAATGTCCGTCTTTCTCACTGTCGTTCTGTCTCGTACCGCTCGCAGTAGAAGTCTGCTTCCGGAGGACCTCCGCATTCCCCCGCGTGCGGCTACCGTACTTGTGTGTTGAAGCAAATGTGACGTCAACATGGTGGATGGTAAAATCCATAGATTTAGGTATTACGCTAGTGGCCGTTTAACCTGACTCTACCAGATGGATTTGCTCCGCATATCCATCTGGAAACCTTCGGTTGAAGTAATTTTGGGAAGGGGCGAAAATACTGGTTAGCTGCTACTCTTGCCGAAACCAGTCGGGAGAAGAGCAAAAACATCTTTTCCTCTGAGAAAAGCCTCCAGAGCAGTGTTTTGCTCTTCTTTCAGTGAAGAAATACTCTGTAATTCCGATAAAACTTGCTAGATAGCCACGCTAACGCTAGTTTCATCAGCTGAAGCCGCCATGTTCTTTAGACTGAACTGTCGCGCTTCTCGTTGCGTCACACCTCAACCCGCCTCAAAGCCAACGCTGATTGGACGTTCGTTTGGTGAACGGCTCCAAATTTTCTTCAACGGAGAGTCTCCAGACTGATTAGCGAGTGAAACCTTGAAAGCTTGCGGGATCAGGATGGTCTCACGAGGCTAGTGGCTCGTGAGGCTAGTTAGCTGTAAAAGTCCATAGATAAGCCGCATTGTTATATAAGCCGCAAGGTAGAAAAATGGGGAAAAAGTCGCGGCTTATAGTCCGAAAATTACGGTAGGTAAATGTGTTTAAAAACAGTTTCTGTAACGCTCATTAAAAGTCAGGGTATTGGCTATTTCCATTGTAACTCTAAACGTTTTAGCTTAAACAACGTGTGTGCTGAAATGTGGAGGGAACCCAGATTTTACTCAAAAGACCAACGCGCTCATAAGAAATAAGAGTATTGGCCTGATTTTCAGAGTTACGGCCCGTTACGCTGAAATACGCTGGCAAGAACACTAGTATGACTTTCTGCATCAATGCGCAGATTTGATCCACTTGAGGTTCTGCTGAGGGGATCAGGAAGTCCAGGTTGCTGTATTGCCTTCATCTAATCTCCATCTTTCTCTTCACCAGTGCATTATTTACAGTAGATGAGACCAATTCGCTAATCAAAACAGTACACTCTAGTGATGAAG